CTCCCAGTCCTAATCTCCTCCTATAGGCTCTCAATCTCCCCCTCAAAATTTTGCTGGTCACCTGCTCCCATCTTTTTCCTTCTCAATTCCTTTACATAGTCTCAGCCCAGCTTCTCGTGGTTCCTAGTTGCACTCATCCACTCCCCCAACTGCAAATCCATTTCTATATTCTCACCAGCCAACTGGCTTTCAACATCTCCTCTGATTTCCAGTTCTAACCTCCCCTCCACAGTCCCAGTCTCCTACTATTACATCTCCCTCCTCTGGCTCTTGTCCAAATCAAGTACAAAGAGAAAAGCTTCCTCGTCTGTGCTACCAGAATGCCAGAGCCCTGCTCTCAGCTCCAATGCCTGGCCAAGCCCTGAAGTTGGGAACAGCCATTATAGGGAAAGCCCAGCTCTGTCCATAAAAGCCAGTGTCACAGAAATCTCCAGCACCCCTGGAGATGGCAGTCTGGTCAGCACCAGGAGCTGAGACTCAGACTTGCTCAGCAGACATACGGTCCGTTGTCTCTACTGATCACGTGAGAGCATCACCTTTTCAAAGGCTTAGTACCTGGCCGCATGTGGGCAGAAATTCATGAGACTATGAAAAGGCAAAGCCCTCAGCTGAAGGCCAGCACCAAATTTCAAGTCTCTGCTTCAAAGCAGTGGAACGTTTCAAAGAAAAAAAAAAAAAGTCGCCATAAGTTTTTAACAAGGACAAAACAACTGAACTTTTCCTTAGGCCAGTCCAAGCAGTTAAAGCTTGGCAGAGTTTTAAGCAAGCGAGAACAGGGTCTTATTAAGGTTGGGTGGCACATCCCATTATAACACCCAACCTTAGGCAGCACTACAAGCCCCACCTAAAACAAAAATTATTAGGCAATCTTAACTGCAAGCATAACTGCCAGGTGCCATCTGTAATTGGTGTTCAGACATGCAGTTTTATGCAAGGTAGATTAAAAGCCATGCACACACAAACAGAGCTTTGTTCCATAGACACCAGTATTTAAGGGAGTGCTGATCAAATATTTTTTAGCAACATTTTTTTGAAAAAAAATCATTTTTATACCAAGGCAAAACCAATTATATGAAATATTTTCTATTTTAGTTTAAATGTTCTGACTTTTTTGACAAAAAAAAAATGAAATAGATTGTCTGGGAAAATGTTTGTTTCATTAAGAATTTTCAGTTCATGAAAATTATTATTTTTTAAAACACCCAAATACCAACCAGATTAAGCAGAAGACAAGATCTGATAAAACTGCCAATTATATTTTTTCACAGAAGTTTTGGGGGGGAAAAATATTCAATTTTCTCTCAAGTTTCTATTAAAACAGTTTTCATCTGAGCATAGGTGAAAAAAGGGGGAAAATACTTTTAAAAGATAAATAACTTTTAAAGATTCAAGACAAAATTTAATTGGGCTGTTTTACTAAGTGTAGCCTGATACTGATACCATGACTGCTTGATGATACTAAATAGATAATCCCGCAGGAATCGCTGTGATTATTCACAGAACAGAATTCCTCTCAACATAACAATGAGAGAACTGAGCCCAGAACCAAACTGAATCCTCCAAGCTAAACCACAAAATATAAGTTAGATTTAATTTCCCTCCTTTTCAAAACCAACACAAGCCACACAATTACTTGCACTAAACTCCTTACCACACTGCAAAAATATTTTAAATATTTCTAATCCTTTTAGTAGTTGCAGATTTCCAGAAAGATTACATTTCCTCACTAGCAAACCCATTCCATCTGAAGCTTGAAAGCTACAATTTTCTTCAGCTACTTGATTGCCAACAACAGTTCCTGCCTGAAACACATGAACACAGGTCAAAATAAAGCATGCAGCATCCCTTTATAATTTAGTAAATATTCAAAAAGTGGAGGGATATTTCTTTCTTGAGGAGTTTTTTTTAATTGGACCAACTGCATGCAGCTTTCCTGAACCATTAGGAGTATGTCACTACAACATTACCTTGTTAAAAACAAAAATAACCCCCCCACCAAAAACCCCAACAGCCACCCCACTTTTTGCTTGCTTAGGGATCCAACAAGTGGATGATGTAAAGTAACAATTAAAAGGTATAAATAAGGATCTACCCCAAATAACTCCTACAGCAGTAAAATCGAAGTTGACCAACTCACTGTGAGCTTCTTTGGACAGGGACTGCTATGGCATCATGTATTTGTTCGCTGCCCAGCACACAGGATTGTGACACTACTACTGTCTAGCTACTAAGACAACCATCTGTCCCATTCCCTGGAGAATGCCAGTCTGCTCCGTGCTGTACATTTACTAGGAATAAGCCAATTCTAAAGTTTCTTCCCTCAAAAGCATGCTCACAAATCAAACTAGTCCTACAGCAAGCATTATTATACAGAAGGTGAAAGCTAATAGCATTGGTTCTGGTCCAACATCCCCACAGAATTTTGCCAATGCACCTCAATGAAAACATGCAGCACATCTACATTTAAGGTGAACTGCAATGCCAGTCTGCATAAGGGCTTTGTGATATGGGCAGCCATTGTAGGAAGGTTTATTTTTAGGTCCTTGGCTTCTATCTGCTCGCGCACAACTTTGCAAGCATCCACTTGACATGAGAACTTGTGCCGTGTGTCCCAAGTGACTACAAACTCATACTGCTTGGAACGCACGCCAGCTTTGAGGAATGTCTCTGGAGGTGAAAGGGGCAAAGAAACAGTCCGCCATGCTGCTTGAAATGAGAACTGAGGTGTCATCTGAAAAAGGGGTATTACTGAAGACAGATAATTAATATGCTCAGACAGGGTCACTGCAATTTGCTTCATGAACATTATTAGCTCATCAGCCTAAACAAACAGACCAGAAAATTGCTTCTGGATGAGCAATTTAGTCCCTGTGGAACCACTGCCCTGTCTCAATTACACCTTCCTTGCAGACCCCACTGTAGCACCAACTAAAATTCCTGTCAAATCCTACTTTGTTTTCCCCTAACTGAGATCTAGGAAGAAAAAAGCATGACGTGAATGTAAGAGGATCCCCACTGCCAGGCTCTGGTACTCCAGGTGCACCACTGTGCCGTGTCAGACGTCTATCTCACAAAGCAGCTCCTCACTAGGAAGTCATCTATGTGGCATGGAGAGGTCCAAAGCCCAGACTGTTCAATCTATTAATCCTGCTCAGTGCTGCCTATAGAAATTTTTGCGCCCAGGCCAAAGTCTTTGGTTGGGGCCCTTTTTGTTAGCTGGGCCACATACACAACTCTTTACAGCTTCCAAATTTAGGATCATGGCTGCTTTAATTATGCTAGTCCCAGAATGGTTTTAATTTCAAAATGTCAAGAAGTTGTATATTAAAGCCATTCCTGATCCAAAATAAGCAGCCAGTGCGAATTTCCCTGAATGCCAAGATGTGGGACAATATTCCCAATTTTCCCCTCTTCCGTGGGCAGCACTGGCCCTGCTAACACCTGAATGCACAGACACCCAGTTTTAGTCATTCTTAAAGATCTAGACATCTCTATTATTAGGTACCCATATTAAGACATCTGATTTTCACAAACTGCTAAAGCCATCATTCTATAAAAGTCAGGTTCTTTTCAAAGGGCTCCAAATTGCATATTCAAAGGTCAAAATCCTTTTGAAAGCCTTGGCCAACAAATGCATTTTCTTCCATAGGCCACAATAAGAGGATGGGAAAAAAAAATAAAAAATCAAGGATTTTGCCCAGTCTAATACAGCTTTACAGAAGACACTGGGATGTTTCTGACAGCTCTTGTGTCTCATGTTCCAGGCAGACATGTAAAAACACAAGCTAAAACAAGATCGTGTGAATCATGGGGAAACCCAAACAACTGATCTGCCATCCACCCATCACAATGCTGGAGTTTCAAAACCTGGAATCCCGCTCTAGCTGCTCCATGCCCTGAACAGCAGCAGAGTGCCTTGAGGCACATCAAAGCTTTTCTTCTGAAAACGCCTACTCATATTTTGTCACAGATAATCCAGTCTATTAAGACCTAATCTTCTTTAAAGACACTGTTCCTCCCAACTACAAGTTCTACCCACTAAACTCTCCTCCCATTCACAAAGTCCCTTCAACTGCCCAGAAAAATCACGCACCTGGATACATATTAGGAAAACATTTAAGATGCGTCTCTACACAAATTAGCAGGTGGAAGCAGGGAATGGAACCCAAACTGTGCAAACAGTTAGCTCTCTGCTGACCACCACTAAATGCTACCACCAGTGGTCCATGGACCAGTGCTTGGAAATCTCCGCTTCAAATAGCCTAGTCCAAAAGTTTCAGTTCTGAATGTCCACAAAGTAACTAGGGGAAGCTAGTCTGCCAGTTGTGCCTTCAACAATACGTAATGGACTTCACGTGAAACATCAGACTATCAAAGCCTCAAAAAGGTAGATTATTTCTCTGGGGTGGGTGAGTGAAATCACCTTTCTGCACAAGTAATACAGTAATTCTGATGGATAAAAGGATGCCACTTAATTCATTTTAGACAGTAAGATTGCTACATGGAGCACAAATGCTTCCTTTCAGGTTAAAGACCCAAACCAGGGACTTAAAGCACTGACAATATAATTAAACTTTCAGTTAGCAACATACAAAATCCAAATGTGCCAATGCACGGTACATGCAGCAAGAGCTGAACGAGAAAAAGTAGCTGAACCACTCTGTATACCAGCACTGGATTGTGTTCCCTTTGTGGAGTACGTATGCCAAGGTCAGCATTGTTAGCCTGTTTCATTTGATTTACAGCCAGTACAACACTGATTCCCAATCTAATGACAAGGCTGTTTGCAAACATTCGCTGTCACTTTCACCAGTACATTAAACCTTTGTGGGTGTGGTGCGCTGAGTTTAAAATCAAGTTCTCATTAACTAGGGAAATAATTCAAAGCACCCAATACCTCTACAGCATCTACTTCACCTTTACTTTACACCTGTAGTATCCATTGCACCTTTAAGGGGTATTCGTAACATCAGAAGAGATATTATTAAACACATATTTACCTGGAGCATTAGTTCACATTCATCTCTGCCGACAAATATCATCTCCCGCGGGAGGCGGTGGCGAATGCCAGTGCTGCTCACCAGGAACCACGAAGTGACACTCATTTTGGTGTTTGGCACTTATCCTTTAAACATCCTGAGAAATAAAACACACGCACATGATGTTCTTTAATTCACTAGCCATCCATGGGAGCAAGTTCACCAACAGCACTGACATTACTCTGAAAGCATGGAGGAAGGCCTGGGTTTTGTTTTGTTTTCTTAAATAGGTTAAAGGATCCAACAGCCTGAAAACTGAAGCTACCTGAATCCAATAGCCTGAAAACTGAAGCATGGGGAAGAAGCAGAAATTCAACCCACTGTGCGCTCCAGACTAATAGAGAGCACAGCTTCAGCTTCCTCTATCTCTATAGTTAAAATAGCTTGTCAGAAACTACTAGCTGTGCTAACCCAGGAACTGCCCAGCACAGGACAGGGATGTAATATTTCCTCTTGCTTCTTCTGTGTGATACTCACTTCACAGATCAACGCACCAGGAGTTGTGGAAGGAAAAGCAGTACCCTCAAAGCTTCTAGTCTCCATCCCACGCAGATTGCGGGAGTAGGAAGAAGTCCCATCTCCTACCTCATTGAGCTGGCCAGAGCGGTGCTGATACAAGGTGAGTGATGAAACCTTCTACTAATCCACTCCAATACCAGATTACTTCACACATATCAAGGCAAGAGGAGGAACCAAGGGATGAACTATGACTCTTTAAGTCACAGTCTGCCACAGCCCCACGCTTTCCTTTAATGTGGGCAGATTATAATACTGCAATCTAGTCCTAAAGAAAGGGCAGAGATCAGCAGAGCTGACATCTAAAGGGAAAGCTCTAAGCAAGTGGCCAACCAAACCTGTTTGTTGCCTTGCTCACCCCTCAGGTTTCTGTTGTCCCTGGGAAAGAGCATGTAGAGCAGAAAGCCACTGGTGACATTTGTTTCCTTCTCAGTCTCTCTCAGGCCCCAGGCTCACCATTTCTCTTTCCCCTGAAGAAAGAGAGAATGGACTATCACAAACCAGACTCCTTTTTTTCCCCAATCCATTTGATTTTTCCCACCCTCTTCTCAGCTCCCGCCTACAATATTCCCCCCGAGTTAAGTTTAGTTTTGTTTCTAGGTGGGCTGTAGACAGGAGAATTAGACCTTATTTTCCTGTCATCTCTGCTCCGCAATAGTTTACTGCAACCCTGATAAACCACAATTCCCTCCTGTCAAGGGAGGAAAGGCCTGCAATGTCAATGTATTAAAGAAGTGGGAATCAATGACAGGAACGGAGAAAAGACAATTTAATAGACCAAACGGCTCATAAATCTTTGCCTCTCTTTGAGGATCTCGGAGAATATTAGAGATGCTACTTATACTCCGAAGCTTTATGCATGAAGTCATGAACTACCATGCTCATGTGAAAAGATACCCCCCAATCATGGATTGAACAGCTTTGGGCTTGGATCTCAGGCATTGCATCCTCTTGTCGGGTAGTCTACTGAGGCCATCCTGTACCACTAAAAATGCAACCACCCGTCTCAGGTACACCAAGTACTGTCCATCTTATGTCATGAACTCCTTGGAGTTGGGGTCCTGCTCTCACCTGCACCTGGCATCACACCCACCACCAGTGCTTCAACAACCAGACCTGACCAACCATCCCTGGCCTGCCTGATTTTAGTAGCCATGAACACCCTTGAGCTACACAAGTCCTCTGCATCCCTTTTCAGCCCTTCCTCCTTTGGCCGATCAAAGAGCCAAGGGGCCATCGGGCAGAGAAAGCTCCCTGGCCGCACAAGGAGGGAGGCCCCTGCAGACAGGCTGTCGCTGCTTCTCAGTCCCATTGCTCGTCATCTCCAGGTGCGCACACCCCAGGGAGGGGGCCCAGGGCCACACACATTGACACACACACACTCACACACACACTGGTGCACATATGCCTGCGCACACACGCCTACACGCAAACATACACACATGCATGCATCTTGGATGTCACTCTACTGTCCCATCACTTGTCACCTCCAGTCTTGTGCCCCCAGGGGAAGGGGCCTGGCCTGTTCTCAGACACACAAGTACACGTATGCACACGAACACAAGCACACACGCACACACAGGCATCCTGGATGTCACTTCGCCGTCCCATTGCTTGTCACCTCCAGCCTTAAGCACGGGGGAAAGGGGCCAGGGCCATCCCCCCTATACACACACTGTATGCACGTGCACGCTGCTCCCCTCACTACAGACACACACATCCAATGTACACACACGCACTGTACGCACATACACCCACACCCAATGCACACACCCAATGTGCACGCATGCATACATGCTCTGCCACACACACACACACACACACACACACCCACACCCGGCGCGGGCAGAGCCGGGGCGCGCCCCGCCG